TCTCCATGCAGGAGGCGTCTTGAAGCTGTCATTGACAACAAAGGCTTTTGTACAAAGTATTAGATAAATTTCAGTAAGTGTGTTCAATACTTATTCCCTGTGCCATTCCACATTATTACAAATAACTTCATTTCTGGACATTTATGGTTTGATTTCTTTGTTTGTATAGATCACTTTGGTTGTTGCCGACATCTGGTGAAAATTTCATGTCATTAGCACCTCTAGTAATATATTTACTGAGAAAAATGGTGACGTGTTCAATACTTATTTTACCAGCTGTATATAATTCAGTCTAGTTCTAGTTTTTCCTGAACTTTTATCAAATAATTCAGTTAGAAATTAATTTATTCCAGTTAAATCCCATCCTAATACACCATCTTGTGGTTCTCCTGGACACATCAGTGATGTAACCTGGGATCATGGTGGGTTTCAGGTCTTTAAACCACTAGACCTCCTCACCCAGGTGACCCAAGGGTTGATCAAGCCCCAGCTTGTGTCCATGTATTACCCTACCCATGCCTCACCTCTCCTGATCCACAACCACCTCGACACCACTTCTGCTGTGTCTGTAACTAACTCGATGGATCTCTGCCGACTGACCTCTGTGATGCTCTCCATCCTGTAGACCTGGCCCACAAACCCTCTACCCCTCCTCAATGGGTTCACATCGACTGTCTCCAAATTCAGGGGCTGCATCTTTAGAAGGTCTGGCCTACTTGGTCTTGGTAAGCGGGTCCTTTGTCGACTTCGAAGACCGGAATAAAGTGGAATTTGGACAGTTTCAAGCTATGAAATCGTTTCCATCGTAAACCACTATGAGTCCATTAACAATGGCTGACAAGAATATTAATTCAATTCAATAAAAAAATATTAATTTAAGTAAAAATTAACTATATACAATAAAAAAACAAAGAAAATACACAAATAAAAAATGAAAGGTAGCAGAAGAAGAATAAATCTTATAATGTCTGCCCCTTTTAACCCCAGAATATATTCTAAAAAAACATAATTTACAAAAAAAAATACTAAATAAAAATAAAAACATCAACTCAAACAACAATTAATATAGCTTCACATTTTAATTTTCCATATACCTTTAACAAACTTGCTTTTATCTGCCTTTTAAATATATACATACTGTAGATCAAGCATTTTTAAGATCATCTTCCAGACCATTCCACAATCCTATACTCTGGATTACTAACAATCATATCTGTGCAAATGACAAACCCCTACCTGGTCCAGACAGATTTTTATTTAAAACTGCACTCCTGACTCTAGCTTCATCCACCATTACAAGCAATTAATTAATTAATTAAAACCTCTCCTAATCGACCCACAATGCATCTTGGGATAGGGCGGGCTGAGAAGGATTCACCAAATTTCAAAAGCAAAAGGAGGACATATTCGTGGGTCACAATAGGAGGTGTCTTCAAAATTTAACTACCTTTGGTACATCACTGTGACGTAATCGGCCTTCAAATTTAGATGTCAAAGGATGCAGCCCCTGAATTTTGACACTCCATTTCTCCAGCTCTCCTCCTCTAGCTCAGTATACTATGCCCCTTTTCTCTCATAGGCTGTTCCAAATATACTGATGGGTAATTTTGAATTTGTGGAAAACCAGTTTGAGTCACGTGACTGACCTACATTCAGCTGTAGTCCGTGAAGAAACATAAATATGGTGGAATCCCAGAGAAGTTAGGTGGAAATATTAGTGAATCTGCTGTTTTATGCAAAAGAAAAAGAAAATGAGTGAGACAGACAACTGTCATGAGTATATTTTTAGGAACATTTAATCATTGGTAAGGGAAAAGTACTACGTGTATTTTTTTTCTTACTTTATGACTTTTGTTTTACTGGCCTTCACGACTCTACCTTTAAATGTTCACATTTTCACAATGGCTTCAACATTTATTGTTCACAATAAGGAAAGACAAAAGGGAAACAAGCTAATCAAAAAGAGTTTCTCTGTGTAAATATGCATGACAATAGTTTATATGTTTACTGTCATCCTGGGATTTCCAACATTAAACCATAACTGATTTCCCAATCCAAACTTTGCTGTGAACATGAGATGAGGAGCTCAGCAAAATCCTTCTCAACAACACAAATATCTATCATTTACAGGCAAACCTAAAAGAACTGAAACTGGTTGATGAAATTGAATCATTTGATGTTAGTATTTTTTCACATTAACTGTTCTGTTTCTCATTTACAGTCACAGTTTTGTTTCAAATTTTAAATTGTGCCACAGACACAAGAAATTCTCAAAACTGCTGACACTTTCCGATATCTGCGAGTGCAACAGAAACTGATGATGCTGTTCAGTAATTTCACTCTCGATTACCTCATGCCACAGTTTCACTCAATCCTCTACATCAGACTGATTGTTCTTCCTCTTCTCTTTTCTTGTCTCGCAACAAGAAAGCTCTGCGATCCCCGGTTTGGACCTGAGGGTTATGTTTCTGTGTGTGGACTTTGCATGCTCTCCAGGTTTTTCTCCAAGTATTCCGATTTCCCCCACAGTCCAAAACCAGGCATGTTAGGCTGCCTACTGGTCCAGGCCTCCCTTTGCCATAAATGTCATGTTGTAAAGATTATCTGTAAATTACACAGATACTCCACCATTTTTCAGGTAGCTATACAGACACATAGGGCAATCACACGCTTCAAATTTAGAGCCTGGAGGATGTAACAAACAAAATAATGCATCTCTCAACCCACTCTGCCGCCTCTCCCCGTCTTTTTTGTCATTTCCCTGCTCCTGTGCACTACAACTCCTGTTATGTCTCCCCATGTCTGTCTTTACATAACGCAGATTTTGTTTATTGTAAAAATTATGGATTTTTGAGGGCAAAGATACAGGTTATCACTGAAGGGGTTGAATAAGGTCAGAAAAAAAAGATAAAATGAAAAATCAAAGAACAGATTCAAGACTGAACCTTTAAAGAAAAGTTGTAACAGCCGTAATTGTGTAGTATCTCTTTAAGACACTCCAGTATCTTTAATGACGTCACGTGTTTGCGCCGCTGCTTCTCTGTAGAGAGCATGAGAGAA